ATCAAAAGATATAGGAAAGGAAGAAAGATAAGGAAGAAAAAAAAAAACACATACACACACGCAAAATTCAAAGTTTTTTTATCCCAAAATAAAAATGGTATATAAAAGAAAAAAAAAAGGAAAAAAAAAAAGGCAGCATTTATACATTTACCAGGTTTGCAGTCTGACAAATTAAAATATCCAATGCACTCAAATTATTTCTTTAAACAGCGTTTGTTTTCAATGACTGTAACAGAGCCGACAATATATGTATGAGAAAAAAAAAAATCTTTCCGTTTTATCCAGTACATAAATACACTTCCTCTAAAGGAAAAAAAATTAGAAACGATTAAAGCTGCTGTTTGGCGGATAATTTATCAGGTAACAACTAAATGACCTCCTTATTTGCCTACTGTATTTTTATGGTGAAATTTGAAATAAAATATCATCATGTAGTTGACGTGCAGCAATAATCAACCAGAACTGATAATAAAAGGTTAACTTTGAGACACCTATTATGCCACTTAATATATATTAGATTTCAGTCAACAAAAAAAAAGATGAATAAAATCTTGCTTAATTACTACTTTATCCGTTAATCACCACCCTAATTTTTTCACCAGCATTTTTTCTTCTTCATTGTTGCTGTTGCTGTTGCTGATGGTGATGACGATGATAGTATCCCAGTAATTGTTATCCGACTTCAAACTTTAATTTTTAGTTCTTCATTAGACTGATCTATTTGTATTCGATTTATGCTTTGAATATTTGTTGAAGTCAGAGTACGATAATTGTTTAAACAAAACTTAGAAAAAAAAAATGCTTTTTTTCTTGAATAATATGTGCTTTTCTTCTTGGTCACTTTAAAATCACTGTTTCTAAGTTGAGCATTAAGGATTTTAAATGAAGTTTAATAGCGTTCTATACATTATACTCATATGCTTAAAGTTTTTACGCTTTCTAGTTTTTCTCCGAACATATTAAGTCTGACACTGGGTTTAATTCAATTTGCTATGCAGTTATTACTAAACTGCAGTAGACACCCTACAGTAATGATTGTCGTAGTTATTAGTAGCCGAACTACTGTAGTAAGTGACAGTGGAAGATGACAGGTTGTAAAGTTGTAAGTTGTCGAAGTTGTTCTGTACCCATCGATAAGTTGTTGAAAAAGAATTGAACAACATTCAAAAGAAAAAAAAACGTGAGCTGATTTCTGAAAAATGTAAGCAAATAACTGAAGTAAATTTACTTAAGTTTTATTGATGTATCATTTTTCGTTCCTTTTTTTCTTTATTCTTTTATACCCAATTTCTCACCGTTGAAATTTCGAGCAATGATCTTTGCATATCATCAACTATAAATTCGCTCAATGTTAAACATCTGTCCGTTGATTACAATGTTTCCGTTTTGCAAAACTAATAGCAGCAACATATTAACCAAAAAAAA